AGAGAGAGAGAGAAAGACAATAAAAATTCAAAATCTTTTCTTCTAGCTTTTTGAGATATATGGTACATAATTGTTATTTATGGCCATTCTATTGTGCAACAGCACACAGAATTTCTTCCTCCTAACTATGCCCTATTACCCATTGATCGACTTCTCTGTACCCCTCGTTCCCCTTTCTTTCCCCAGCCTCTTGTAACCAAATTCCACTCTCAACCTCTAGGAAATCAACTATTGAGATTCTACATACAAGTGAGATCATGTAATATGCCAGATATGTGGTTTGCAATATTTATTTTTGCATTTTTGGATTGTCTCTTCACTTCTGATAATTGTTTCTTTATTGTGCAAAAAAGTTTTAGTTTGATGTAATCTGATTTGTCTATTTTTGCATTTCGTGTCTTTGCCTGATCCAACATCTTAAATAGTTTTTCCTTTATTTTCCAAAGCTTTAGGCTTTACATTTATGTCTTTAGTTTATTTTGAGCTGATTTTTGTAGCTGGTGAGATGGGGTAAAAACTTCATTCTTCTGCATGTGGATACACAATTTTCCAACAACATCATTGAAGACTGATATTTTCCTGTGTGTTCATAGTATGTCAAAATAATTGGACTGTATGTGCAAGGGTTGTGTTCTTCTGTTCTTAGATGTAACCTTTTGTTTATGAGTTTTTTTTTTTTAAAGTTTTAACATTTATTTTTTTTGTTTTTTGGTACTGGGAACCACTCAGGACCTCGCATTTGGCAGGCAGGCACTGTGCTGTTTCCAGCCCTTAACATTTAATAGAAATTATGTACAATAAATTTTCACCGTATTTTACATACAATAGCCTACCGCCAAAATGTACATAGCTTAGAAGACAGTTATTTAAGGAGGCCCCAGTCCCATGGGATATTTAGAGCTCATCTGGGAAAAGGTTCAGACCAGGTTAAGTGGATGTAATGAAGAAAGGCTAAGATGCAGGCCTCTGGGTAAAGAATCACACGATGGGACCAATATTTCAAAGGCACCATTCTTAAACACAGGCCCCCACCTAGCCATCTATGTGGATTCCTGCCCACAACTTAGGAAGTATCATTCCAAAGAGGTCTTTCCCATTAGGCAAAGTCCCAAATATTCACTGAATCCTAGAGATAGGGATATCTCTCCTCCTGGCCCAGAGTGGGAGGAACCCCACAACTTGCACACAATTGACCCATTTTCCCCAATTTTAGCTTTTATTTAACTACAACTCCAACCCAGAAGGAAAACAAGGCAAAGTTGCCCCATTTGTAAAAAAGATGATCAAACATACTTCTTTGAGGAATGGAATTTCAAATTGACCAAGCCAAATAGTTCCTAGAATAAACCATCAACTGACAGAAGTAGACTCTGACTTCCCATTCACAGGAGCAAGTCCACTTTGAGGCAGTGGTGCACAGACTTTCTCAGAATTTCGAGATCTCTGGGGTCTGCACCCATCTCCAACCATCTGCATCTGGCCCAATATATCCACTGAGCCTTCAGCACTTTCTTTGACTGAATGATCTTCAAGGGTTAGAGAAGGATCAAAAAGCAAGGGTGAAGGAGGGCACTGCATTCCATCACCTACAACATCCAAGTCCTGCTCGGGCTTATACATCTGAGGAGGCAGCTGGAAATGCAGTGGGCAGCACGGATCCTCAGAAAGGCTTACAGGGACGGCCTTGTTGCAGGGAACCTCTTCAGATCCCTGGCAGCATTTGAAGAGAACTTGATTCGTATCCTGACAATTATGGGTAAGGCAGTGTCTGGTCATTGGAAGAGACTGACTGGAACAGCGCACGTCACCCACAAAGGCCGAGCACCTCTGACTGGACCGCGTGCTGTGAGCCTGCTGGGCAGCACCATCTGTGGCCAGCACTCTGCGTTCCTTCAGTTGCCTGTGCAGCAAGGCTTCTACTCCATAGCGCTGGCGATACCGCCGGAGACATTTTAATCGCTTTAAGTTCTCTCGTTCTTTGGCTAAAAGTCCCTCTGGGCCAGTCAGGAGACTGCTGCCTAGAGATTCATGTTCCACTCTGCGGTTATGTAAGTACCGGCGCTTCTTCTCCTTCAGCAGATGCTGAAGTCGTTTAAACTGATCTATGTACAAAGACTGCAAACGAATTAACTTCTCACGCATGATCAGGGCCACTTCTTCTGCTGTGTAGACACCAGCATGTTTCAAGGGATCTTCTTGGTCACTGTCTATGCTATCAGCTTCACTGTCAGGGTCACCTCTCCATGTCTGATCCACAGTAATGAGATCCTGGTCCCCATCACTCCAGCTGTCTTCCTCCAGTATTCGGCTGGCTTCACTACGGATACCTTCTGGAGTCTGAGACCCCAGCTCCGTCTTTGCATAGGAACTCAGCTGGCACAAGAGTGCTTCCCCCATAGGCCCTGGGGTGGTCTTCTTCATCTGAGCATGCAGTGCAAGAGCATTCCTTCGGGCATGTTCAGCACAGAACGACACACCATCTTTCTTCTCTGGCTTCGGGGCAGCACTGGGACATCTCTTTCCGTTCTTCGTGGATACGTAACTGCACTGCTTGAAGGGTGCATTCTTGTCTTCGAGGATATGCTTAATGCAGAACTCCTGTCCTTCCAGGCGGGGCTGCGAGCACGCGCGATGCGTGAAGGAGCAAGTCTGCGGCTCCTGGGCCCTGGGCAGCGGCGCGATCCTCCCGCGGTTGGTCGGCAGGACGTGAATCCGAATCCCCAACGCTGCGCCGCCGCGCCAGGCCTCCTCCGGCGACTTGTTTATGAGTTTTAGTGACACTTCTGGCACATTTCTGCCATTGCGAGATGCCTTTATTTTTTATTTTTTTAAAATGTATTTTAGGACAGAGTCTACAGGGTCTCATTATGTTGATCGAACTCCTAATGATCCTCCTGTTTTCAGAAATCCACATTTTTAACAAGCTGTATCATTCTCTAAAATTCTAAATTTATCATTTTAAACCATCATAATCCCACATTTCCAAATATCCTGCTAATTGGTGGGTATGGGACATAGCAGTAAAATATCTCATAGAACAATTTGTGTGTATTTCAAAATGTCTCTCAGTTTATTCAGTAACATCTCCAGCCAACACATGTATGGAGAGGTGATCATTCAAACCCAATCAAGAAACTATGGAGTTCAAGGTATCCATTATAACACACAGTGATTAGTTAACAGTGTATTGTATGTTTGAAAATTGCCGACAGAGTCAATTTTAAGTGTTCTCACTGTAAAAGTGTATCTGAGCTAATTCATATGTTAATTTCTTGATATAGCCAGCCTGTAATGTACACATACTTCAAAACCTCATGTTGTACATCATAGATATACACACATTTTACTCATTCATTACAAATATAGTTTTTAATTAGAGAAAGACTAAAATTCAGGAGACTCATTAAGGAATTGTTTTCCTGGGTGTCCCAGGGCTTCTGGGCCACAGTGAGGAAGCAGAGGTTGTTTTGAGTTCAGCCGCCCCATCAAGGGAGAGCTTCAGTCATAACCTGTGCCTCCCTGGGATTTTCTGTTGATTTCTTTCTCAGTTCTTCAGAGAAAACAGTCCAGCCCAGCAGAGGGAAGAGGTAGCTGTAGAGTAAGGCTGAGGTGTCACAGAGCGGTAGAGGGTCAGGTTGGAGGTGAACCTGGGTTGTAGGAAGGGGACTGTGTTTGTAGAGTGTGTCAAGTGTGTGTTTGTGTCTCTGTTCACAATAAATATTTCTTTCACATACCTTGAAAACCGCCACCTTCTTTTTCTTGACTGACAGCCAGTCACAGAAGAACACGCATGCTTTGTTGATGTGACAAATCACAGAGGCAAGTTCAGGGCTCATTTCAGATACCTAGTGTACACTTTGCAGTGACGATCAACATGCAACCACAGCACACAAAACCACTCCAGCATGAAAGTGCCTTGGCTCTTTCTTGGTGTTCATATTTGCGTTGGCTCCTTTGCCATAGCTGAGCATCTGTTTACCTTTCAGAATGCATCTGGCAGTGGTTCTGTTGAGTAACAACAAGTTACATGAACTCCTTTGCTTTAAGATATTTAAAAGCTAAATAGCTGGACCTGTGGTTGAGAGGCATGTGTGGGTTATTATTCTGTATCTCCCAATTTTATCCCTTTTGATTCTTGTCCCTGTTTTTCTACCTCATGCTACTTCTCCAGCGTTCAGCCTCACACATTCTCCCTAAGAGCTGCAGAGGAAATGTGAGAACTCCCTGCAGGTAACCTGCCCCCTGCAGGCTACACTGTCAAAAGCAGCTGCCCTTTAGGTAGGACTCTTGGCAAAACCCTGTAGCGTTCTCAAAGTGAGTGTGCTGTAGAGCATGGTAGCCAGAATTGATTGTTTTTAATTTGGGGTGGGCGAGGGGAGTTGGGGGGCAGGGGTGTTGTGTTTAGTCTCATAGGGATTTTACACATCTGTTGCTGTGCTTGAGTTTATGGCAGAGATTCATTTGAGTTGAGATTTCTGTCTTTTTTTTCTATTGGAGGCAAGAGTACAGATGGGCTGTACTTTTAATTTTCTTGCTGCCACCTGGGAAGCATTTGTCATTTCATTCCTACAGAAAAAGGAAAAGAAACACATCTGACAGAATGTAATACCAGCCTGTGCTAAACAACTCCCCTAACTCTGGTACAGCAATTCCAGCAATTTGTGTGATTATCTATGTCTATATGGGATCTCTCAGTGAGAAGGCTATGGAGTTCCGCTTAGATTACTGTTTTTTCCCTCATAAAGCTCCTAAAAGTACAGAATGATAATTTGACTGAAAAAGCTACATCAATAAAACTGAACAACCAATTATAATGGAACGTGTGAGATGGATGGAGATGCATGCAAGGAATAGAGGTCTTTGTGCAACTGTGGATTTGAACAAAGCGCTAGGCGGAGCTGTAGTCTTGTGTCTCTAGGATGGTGATCCAGAGCTTCAGCCCAGAATTTTTCTCCTCATTTTTTCTCCTGGGTGATCTTCTGTGACCTCAGGCTGCTCTGCCTGAGTTTTTTTTCCCTCTGCAGACTGCTTCCCCAGCTAGGAGGTACTTTCCTGTCTGTTCCCCAAGGATGCCCCTCTGGGCTTTTAGCCAGGGGTTTCTGACCTTGCAGTCGCCTCCTTTACTCTCTTCCTCCAAGTACTCTATAGGATTTCACCCAGACCTCACATCCATTTTTTTTTAAGATTCACAAAACAACAGCTGCCAATAATTAAGCAGGTTGTGATCCTCAGTGAAGCCTGAGTTCTTTAAACATTTACATGTTGTTACCTGGCTCTTGGGTCCTACCCTGCAAAGCTTTCAAAAACCCATGTGTGAGCCTGGCCCATTATCAAAAGGGCCTCTGCTCCCTTGGGGCCCTTGGGGAGCCCAGACATTCCATTGGGACTCCTCTAGGGGTTTCGCTGGATGAATGCAAGGCTATCTTGCACTGGTTCTCAGAGTCCCTTTCTCTGTGCCTATTTCTCACTTGCCTTTCAGTTTTTGGTCCTCCATAATTCTGTTCCACACAGCAAGGATAGCTCTTTTTCTTGCTTATGTTGGACAAACTGTAGCAAACTCTAGATACTTAATATTCTTCAGAGCCATGGCCTGATGATCAATCCCTTTGTCTACCAATAAAATCCACAAAACAAAGCAACATAAGACATAACAAGACAAAACCCTCCAGGGGTGAAGCAGAGAAGGTGAGGGAGAAGGCAAGCTTATCTGCTGCCATTACTAGCATTCCAGCAGGTTTGAGGACTCCGGGGTCTATCTTGTTGTTAATTATATAGGTCTTACTACAATGGGAAATCGGTGCCCCAAGCCCCACTTCTTTTCTTCCCAAACATGCATTTCTTTTAGTATTTACTGCTTGTGTGAGGAACACATCTGTCTCATAACTTGCAGTGAGCAAAGATAATTAAAACCCCTAAATGCAGCATGGCAGCTCACATTTACCCAGCTTCCAGCTGCCCCATCCCTTCGATGCATGGTATTCCATTTCTTGAAATCCTTCATGGACAGTCACTGAAATATTGTGCACAGTGTGAGGCTGGTGGTGCTGACAAAGAAAAGGCATTATGCTTCTTTTCCTGAGTCCTCCAGTTGCAAGGGAGAGGTAGGTAGACATTTCTATGCTCTGCCTCCCCTTTTCATTCTTTATTCCTGGTCATGTCTTCAGAGAGTGGAGTGTTTAAAAGCTCTAGAGAGGGAGAGACAAGCTTTTCTGTAGATGAACAGAGAATTTTCTCATGGGATATAGAATTTTGTCATGACCTTGAAAGACATCTAGAACTATGATTGGCAGGATCATGCAATTAAAAGTGCAGTTTAGGCATAGCAGAGCCCAGAAGTGGGTCATGTCAAGCATGGTTTATCCTCAGAGACCTTGAGTACACTCATGTTGACACCTGTGGCACTTGTGCAGAGGTGTAGAAAATAGGAATGGGTAGGGTCCTAAGTCAGATGCTATTGAAGCCTTCCTCAGTAGAGCAGCATTTGTCCAGTTCTTCCAATATTAACTATATAAAAGAATGTTGGTACTAACAGAGGATTGTAGTTGTACAACAACCACAGTTGCTTATCTAGTATAGCTATCTGTCACTTACCACTATTTGTTACTTTTAGTTTTGAGCTTTAAAGAGAAAACAGGGAGCAGTATTCAGGTACTTGTGTGAAGAATTTTTTCCTAAACAGAAAATTGCTTTTATTGTGAAGTTTATTTTGACTTTGAAAATGGTTTCCTGCATTTTTGTTTTGTGCCAGCATATTTTAGGATTTAAATATGCTGATTCTGGGGTCAATCTGCCTGTGTTTAAATCTCATCTCTTGTTTCCTAGAAGTCCTTATTTCTTATTTTCTTGACTTATATTTTAATTTTGTTATCTTAGTAAAGATGATAAGAAATGAATGTGGCTTTCATAGTGACTGGGAAGTTAAGTGGACTTGTATACATATGAAATCTTAAGTTCTGGCACAAGAACAAGTATCAACTTTTTAAAATGTATTTAGTACAGGGTCTACAGGGTCTCACTATGTAGTTTGGATTCACAGTGATGTTCTTGTTTTCAGCCTCCCAAACTCTGGGATTACAGGTGCACACCACCACGTATAGTCTTAGTCGCCAGCTCAG